AATAATTTTTCAAAAGTGCATTATTTTCTTTCTTTTTTTTTTTTTATTGTACAATAACAAAAAGAGACATTCCTATCTCAGACAAAAACAAAAACCAAACAGACAAAATTAAATAAAATACATTCAGTTGGTCACTTCAACATTTCATAAACAAAACAAAAAATTCACTTCAGAATCATATATATTAAAATAATTGGATAATCATTTTGCAAAAGTGCATTATTTTCTTGATCAATTCAATTATGCAGCTGGTACAAGTTGGGTTTGTTTGATCTATTTTATATACTGATAGGTAGCTTAACCTATCATAGCATATCATACATTTAATAGTTCATACATTCTTTTTGAATTAATATTCTGAATATGAAAAGTAACTAGTAATTTAAGTTATAAAATAAATGTAACGGTGTAAGAAGTACAACAGTTCCCTTCCAAAATGTAGTAGAATACAAGTGAAAATACTCAAGTGATGTACATGTACCTATGAGAAACTTAAAAAAACAAAACATATCACTGCACAGTAGCATGCATCTGCACAAAGACAGAAAAGAGCTCTTACATGAAACAGCTCAAGGACAACACCGAGTAGAGTCTGTTACATTATATTGGAGGAAAAGGCAGTTTTTTCTTACTGAGACGGAATGAGGAAAAATCTGTATTTCGGGTGAGCTGTCCCTTTTGAGTAAATCCTAACATTGAGTAACATTGCACTAGCAGAGCATTAACACTGATACTATCAGAATGTTCTAGAAGCAGAGCAGCCAACACCCTCCTACTTCTGCCAAATGTATTTAAGACTCATTGTAACTCAATACATGATATTTATTTGTATCATAGTATATCTACTTTTACAAAAAGGATGTGAGTACTTTGTAGTTTAGAGAAGGAATGCAGAGGTGTAGTTCCTGCACTGTTTTTAGATTTGTACTGACTGTATATAAATGTATGTTAATCTATTATAGTTTTCATTTGACTTCTGAATAATGCCTATCTGCCTTGCGTAGAATTTGACCAGTGTACGTGTACTGGTGTTGTTTGTGAGAAGAGCTGCTAGCTGAATGGCTCCACCCCATGCATGCACGTGCGCACGCACGCACGCGCGCACACACACACACACACACACACACACACACACACGATGTTGATACTTTTGGATGCACAACACCAAGAGAATACAAACTCTGCATGCTGTGTTGCATGACACCATACCGATCACATGTTCGGACACGTTTAGGATTCCATTCTGCAATCTGCTCATAATTGCAAACAAGCAAAATAACTTTGAAAAGGTTTCTTGCTTTGAAAGTACATTTTAGCCAGTTGTGTGTTTTATCACCGTGAGCAGATGTGTGAGGAGGCATGCATGCCTCACATCCCCCCCCCACAGCAGCTCCATGCTGCAGTGTTGGTGTTAGTAGTGTTTGTGGGGGGGGGGGGTTACAATCCTCTTGTGTCATGGATCATTCGGGTTCTCGGATATTAACATGTCAGGAATATTAGGAATTAAAGTGAGGCGCAGAGAAACAAATAACAATAATTCACAGTACATGTATCAAATCGCTGCTGCCTGCACCTCCCTCCTATTCTTGAGAGCCCACAACACAGTGATGACTCACTTCCTCTGTTTGTGTAAATGCCTGAGAGAGAGAGAGTCACATCCTCTGGATGTCATATGATGATCATACAGAGATAACACAGACATGCTTCCTAGATTGGATTATGACTTGAAAAAAAACACTCAACTTAAATGTGTTCTCTTAATGCTACTCTTCCATCAAGCACATTTATTTTCTTTACTAATTCAAATGTAGGCTTACTGTAGTCTACATATTCACTATGCGGATGTAAACATTCAATCAAAACGAATTTGTAGCTCAATTGAAATAAAACATGTTGTGTTTTACTGAAAACAAAAACAGAAATCAAAAGGAGGAACTTCCAGGTTTCTGCCCGTTATGACTGCATTCATATTTCACGGTGCCGTTAGTTCTCCACAGAGACCGACTGACAGGAAAGGGATGATTTCTACATTTCCGCAAACAAAATATTCCTTTTGATGATTTAATCATTAAATGTATTATTAAAAATATGTTTACTGGAAAATGTAAATGTGCTGAACTTCCATCAGCGGAAATAATAAAAATAACTTTTAGACAGTGTTATTTTGTTGTCTTTTATAAAAATGTGTAATGGTACTGCTTTACTGATTCTTATATATTATGTGTAATTGTCTTTTATCTATTTGATCGTTTAAAAAATCGTTTGATTGTAACTGTTCTATTTATTTACTTTATTCTTCTGTTTATTTATTATTTGAACCATATTTGTATAAGCTTGTGAGTGGTTTGTCTGCACAAACCCGTTCAGAGAAGATGTATCTTTAATGCATGGGTGAAAGGTATACATGAGTCACAGTGAAATGCTCTGCTCATCATTATGTCAGCGAGAAACATTTGTGACGCAGATGTTTCACATGTTTTGAAATGGCCTTTTGTGCAAACCAAGCCGGGGCAATAATAAACCCGATCACAGCTCGTGTGTGTGTGTGTGTGTCTAGTAATTTTCCACTCCTTTGTTAGGAGGATGGTCCCACTAAGATCCATACACGCTTCACAGACACTTCTATTAATAAGTAAACCAAACCAGTTTAGAGCTGTCAGTGTTGTAATATTACAGAAGAATGATTTCACATCTCATAACTACTGTTTGTTTACATTTTGAGGACCACCCTCAAAGCATTGTTTATCATAGTGAAACTATAGAGTAGGCTATTCTGAAATGAGACACAGGGACAAGTATTTGTTCAATTCAATGTGAAGTGTTTAGTATGAAAAAAGGAATGGGAAAGCTTCCCGTTACTCTTCTGTTTACAGAGTGGTGCAGTAAACGCATATTTTTGTAGGCCGACCACGAAGTTAGCATCGCGAGGGCTCCCTCGACAAAAAGCCAATTGGAATTTTCCATTGGATTTTGGGATATTTAAGATAAGATCTATGTTAAACACACATTTATAATACATACACGTTTTGTTGAGCAGGATAATCTCCACATATTAACACCACTTAAATTATTGTTGAAGTGTAAATACAATTGCAAGGTACAAAATTAACGTCAGGCTATGCCAGTGGTTCCCAACCTGGGGGGGGCGCCAAAGATCGCAGGGGGGGGGGCGCCAGGCCTCAGATGATTTGAGGCCAAATATCATATTTAGAATTATTTTATTTTTTTACATATAATTGGAACGCAATACATGATTGTCACTAAAAGCCTTGTCTCTACATTACAATAAAAATATAAAAAGTAATTGATTCATTAATTTGAATACAAATTCAAGTTAGCAGCTATTAAAGGCATAAAAAGACAGAAATGTGTAAGGGAAACTTCTGTGTAGCAGCAATGCAGTGGGAGTCACCGACTCAGGAAAGAGACACGGTAGAGCAGGAGCTTTGATGTCAAACACTGATGGTTTATTTGTAGTTTCGGCCGGAGAATTCACATCACAAGTCACAGCAGCCACGATCTGACTGCACGGGTGGGTTGCCACGTCAATTCTAAAGATATTTAGCTAGTTCTGAGAGCATCATCAACATGCTGCATAACAAGATAAAATCATAACACCTCTATCAGCTGACGCCAACAGGCAGGAACATAGAATCATAACACCTCTATCAGCTGACGCCAACAGGCAGGAACATAGAATCATAACACCTCTATCAGCTGACGCCAACAGGCAGGAACATAGAATCATAACACCTCTATCAGCTGACGCCAACAGGCAGGAACAGGAAGACAGAACACTGAGCACAGCAGCCAAGGTTACGAGGTGCGTGTGCTCAGTCAGGACAGTTTGAACTGGGTCAAAGTTATGGGCCTTGGAAAATATTTCCACAACAAAATGTATAATTCTTTCTTTTATAGAAATGTTTCTTCTGCCCGTAAAGTGTCCGAACCAGGCTTTTCTGGATAAGTGCATTTTTAAAACATAACCATTGTCCATGCCGGTTTCAGTTGGATTATTTGTCACAGTTGCTCCGATCAGATCGGTCTCCTCCATTTTGTAGATTATTTACGACTTTTGAATCCACATAAACACATCGGCAAAATCCGGTTTACTTTGAGCATGTGTTTTAAACAGTTTAATCACTTTGTGAATTGTTTGTGCCGTCTTTAATTTCTTCATACAGCAGGAATCCAAATGAATTAATCCTGAGTCCAATAACCATCAAAGTCACTCCAATAGTGCTTCTTAACTACGCGTTCATCCTCCTTTAACAAAATACTCCACATTCATCCAGTTTGTGACAGTAGTTGTAGCATTTTGAGACTTTGAAACTTAATTACCGCTGTTGCGCCCCCCCCCCCCGTGTGTGTGTGTGTGTGTGTGTGTGTGTGTGTGTGGGGGGGGGGGGGGAGGGGGAACAACTTCCAACAGGAGTCATTTGGGGGGCCTCTTGGGAAAAAAGGTTGGGAACCACTGGGCTATGCTATTAACAAACTACATCATGGTCGCATGACCTGACATCATCACCGCTAAGCTAAGGTGGCTAATATTAGTCGTGATGACGTTAACTAGTCTTATTATATAACTTGGTAGCAACCTCCAACGACACCTAAAAGCAGCAGATGTTCACAAAAGCTAAAATAAATAGACTCATGTCTGGCGTGATGGAGTTTAGTCATCTGCTCATCTTATTTAGACACTGTTGAGCCACCGCCATTTTTAAGGCATGTGCATTTTCAAACATTCAACAATGGTGAATTTACAAACCGTTACTAACTCATTTGATATTGTAAAGGAAAAGGCAAAAAAAAAATCTCATCTGCTTGTGTTTACCACAGACCGTATTACCAAAAACGAATTGAAGACTTCCAGACCAGGGAACCCTGATGTGCTCAAATGCTAACTCATTCCTGGAATACAGTATTTACAGGAGCTACATGTTCTCATGTATGAGGATTCCAGGGAAAGGATCAAAGTAGAGGTCTTCAGGATACACACATTATTTTATCAAAAAAACTTTTATTGAAACAACAAACCCACAAAGAAAAATTACCTTTATACATTCATATATATTTGATTTATTTAACGCTTCATACTGCAAACTCACTGAGGCAGGACTGTGTTTTTCCAAACACCATGGTAACGTAATGCAACCCCCGGTAAGGATATACATAACGAAGCACTTCAGCCCCTTCATGAGACGCACTCCATATTTCAGCAGGAAACTATAAAAACAAAGTGGAAATGAAAACCTTTGGCATTAGCACCGACTGTCGGAGAACGTATTGCCAAAGTGATTGACGGCTGATGCGCAGCCACCTCCCTACAGAAACACAGGAAAAAACAAAAGGCTCACTTTGCCCTCTTCACATCTCACAACGTGAAAGTGACAATCAAGAACCAGAAGACTCCTAGAATACTGTATCTCCAAAAAGCGTCATTGTGGATTATCATGTGAATACATTTCTATCAAGAGTGAACATGAAGCTCTTACACCAGATAGCCTAGTTTAAATTAATTTCAGGGTCGCTTAAATGTCTTATCGTAACTTCAACATAAAGTGACACTTCCACTGTGTCCAATCTGTAAGGAAATGTAATAGCTCTCTGGGCTATAACAGTAAGACGTGTTACCATGTGTTGACTCTTTCACATTTATAAGGTTGACAAAGAACAACAAAAATGAGAAAGAAAAAATGGATATAAATGGCAAAGTGGGGAAACAAACGCTTAAGACTTGTTTATAGACATTTTCATATACACACACGCAACTCTGAGAACAGGGAGGGGGGGCACGCACACTTAAATTCAAGCATACTATTGCCATTGATCTCACCAGACTGAGAAAGGTTTGGGGGCAGAGTGCACCTACATCATGTGGTCGGACACATGTTTTCTGTGCAATTTACAGAAGTTTTGTTGACAGCCAGTTAGCGTGGTTTGGTAGCTTGCAGGATTGTAAGATCCCCCGAGGAGATTTTTGTAAACAATGTTATGTTTACACTGAGGGTTTCTCACTTCAACACAATGCTTGTAGGCCTGGGGCCAGCACATGTTGAATGCCTTCCTTCCTCGTTAATCTTTAGCAGAAGCCATTTGCTGCCTGAACTATCTTGACTGCTACATGTTTCTCTGTGCATTCCCACCACCAACAATCATAATGGAATGATAGTTGGTGAACGGTTCAGAAACAGTAGATTCCTTAAGGCTGTCAACACAATGATCAAAAGGAACAAATACAATTCAACTTTCTATGGTGCTTCTCTGGTAAACCGACCAATGAAATGATGCCTTTGCCCCGACCGATACAAGATTTGCAAAGCCAATGCAGATATTTCAAAGACATATCTCCACTTCAGTTCCTTGTCATTCACTGGCTGAAATGTTTCGGGGAGGGAACAATAACTGCTTGGCTGTTCTTTTCTTATGCCATGGCGATGATGTAAAGATACTTTACAGTTCACACATGTAGCATTGGCCTTTTGAGATCTTGAATCTTTTAAAAAATCCCACGTCTCATCCCTTTTGCTGACCCACCTGCAAACGGCACTTGCATGAAGTGCAACGCCCCCTTCAAGTTGAAGGGTTACTGAACCTGGCTGAGGCAGCTGGAAGAGGGGCTGCACACAGGCATGTAACGGGGGACAGGAGGCCCTGGAAAATGTTAACCTAACCGGTATGGATGTGTGCTTGCTACTGAAGAACTTACGAAAATAAATATTGACAGAACACGATATCCTGCTGTGAGTGGGGGGAGGAAGGGGTCTCTCTCTCTTTCTCTCTGTCCTGATTGCATTTGTTCAACAAAGTTCTATGAAAAAAGGTTTTCCAGGAAGTATTTTGTTGGTTTTCAAGCATGATGCTACAGCGACAGGTGCAGTTGAGTCAGCTGGTGGTCCTGGGTAGGGGTGGGGGTTAAATGATTTTGTAGGTCAGGTAGTCGCGGAGCGGTGTAGGAATGGCCAGCGTCTCCACTTGCTGGGTGGTAGTCAACCGGCGGATAGACATCCTACACATGTGCTGCAGACTGGCAACGCTACGAGGACACTCCCAGAAGAGCACACTCCCGCCACGAGTCCTAAAAACAAACAAAAAAACAAGGAAAACAGGTTGAGGGTCAGGGCACTGATGCATCGTAACCACACTGGGCTCCATTCCAAAACTGGCCCCTACCCCCCCTAACATCTGTCCTGATTAACCACCTGCCCTACCTGACCATGTGCTACGCTGTTTTATGTCCCTCCTGAAACACGGCGTGTACTAATAGTTCAGTGCAAACATTTACTTGTCAACGGCGCAAAATAAGGTAGAATGGTAGGAGTTTGAGGTCTTTAAGATTACATTGTAATTTACGATTATATATACCCAAGTCTAGTCTAGAAAACAGTAGATGATGTGTTCATTTGATTGTAAGGTTTATTATATTTACAGTGACTCTTGCTATAACCAAGAAGCTCATAAACATTGGACCTAAAAGAAATGGCTGTTTTGCGTGTTGGAGCAATGCTGATTTGAAACCATCTTTACGGAAAGTTGCGACAGTTCTTGTTTCTGACGAAGAGAGGGAATTTTGTTCTGAAGCTTGCTGCTGTATTTACACCCTCCACAAAGGAGCCTCATTCAGCTGGGTGTGTGACTACACACAGTTTAGTCATGGAGTGGGAGGTGGTAGGGATCGGTTTGGAATTGGGCCAGTGAATTTAGCAAATCTAAAAACAGCAGAGAATGCATGGTGCCAGCAAGCGGTGATAAAAGACGGGAAACTGGTTCCTCTGCAGAAGTCAATAAGGTGTGACTGACGTACGTGTGTGTTCAGGGTGGAGTGACAGAGCCTTACCCAGTAGCAAGGACACTTCCTTCAGCGGAGAAGGCACAGCAGAGGCCGTTAGAGAGGGAGCCGATGGCCTGAGGGGCTTTCTCCTCGATGCTCCAGAAACGCACCATTCTGAGCAGAGACAGAAAACACACTGCTGTCACATTCCAGTACAAACACTGGAAACTTGATGTTAAAGCAATATTTTGACATTTAAATTGAATTTAAACATATTTATAAACTTTGAATTATATATATTCCTTGTGTTTTAATGATTTGACCGTGCAATGAACTCTCATTGACGGGCTTGCAGTACATTTCCATAAATAACTTTTGAGTATTGCCAGTGAAAGACTGTTTTCCCATCTGGGAGGTACTTTCACTTGACCTTCCTTTTAGATCAGAAATGCCAGGAGAAGATTCAGTGTGCCTGGCAGCCCTGTTCCCACTCAGCCGCAATTAGGACTATTCCTCAGAATAAAAAGAGGAAAATAAATATCACCTTATTCATGTGGTCTTAATCCCCTTCCGTAGATTCCTAACAATTTTGCAATAGTTTTTTGCTTGATGGATGAATCTTACGTTTCATTAAATGTATTTACTGATTCCCTACATTCAATTGTTGCTACATAAACCATGTCCGGCAGTGTCCTCCCTGAAATACTTTCGGTGGGAGAGCTCTGTTTTTTTCCACAGTTGCCACTTCCCAGAGCTTCTTCCTGCCTCTCTTCCCAACATGTATCTGCCAACTACCATCACAGATATTAACTACCTTGTGACAGTCATGTGACCTATCCAAACACACCAGCATACAGTAGCTCTTTTCTCCCTCGTCCCTTTAACACTCATGACTCACTGCGAGATTTAAAAACAAGCAGAAGCACACAGTGAAGCTTTTCTGCAGCGCCATGCTGTTTAAATATCAGCCCGCGTTAACTGAATGAAATGTTCTCTACCGAAGTCAACAACTTCACATTTTTAAAGTTTCCCCGAAAAATGATCAGATCTTCCTCTAAAGGAAAGTGAGAAAGCAATAACACCCTAACCAACCAAACACAGAGATAGAGGTAAAGAAGTAAAGTAAAACAACAGGTCAGTGAATGTAACTAACTCATTCTGTGTCGTACCTGTCATCAGTGATGCTGGCGAGGTGGCGGCCGTCAGGGCAGAAGCTCACAGAGCGAACCCAGCGGTCATTGGCCCCCCCGGCAAAAATGGGTGATGGAGGAGGGAAAAGATGGCTGGAAAGAGAGGAGAGCAGGTGCTTAGAAACAGCATTAGTGTCAAACAGTTGGTGCAGAACCTCCCTTTACAATTGATAAGCATATCACTTCTAAAGAAATAACACATCTGAACACTTCAGTAGAGTGGGGGTTTTGCAATGGAGTGGTGCGGGAATGAGTCCTAGGATTTTACTACTCAGTTGCGCCACTTATGTGACGGGCAAGAAGAGTATGTGACGGGCAAGAAGAGTATGTGACGGGCAAGAAGAGTATGTGACGGGCAAGAAGAGTATGTGACGGGCAAGAAGAGTATGTGACGGGCAAGAAGAGTATGTGACGGGCAAGAATAGTCAATTCTAGTGTCTAACACTTAATGTGGAGAAAGAGATTTCCTGGATGGGTTGATTGTGCGTTGCTCTGTTGGTAATGCCTCGGGGTTCCGGTGGGCATGTAAACAAATACATAATGCTGCGCTATACTTTGTGGCCTCACCCAGTTGCATAGCGACACTTATTGTTTAGGTGTCTTTTAATAAGCAGGTAGTCAAATCATTAGCTAGAACTAGCTGGATCTGATCGATATGGACATAAACGCAAGTGAAGTCTAATCTGACGGGAGAGAGAGATCAGCTGCTGCTGACGAGTCGACACGCAGCTCTGCATGATCACAGAACAAAACACACACTTCAGGTTAGAATATCACACGTAGCTATTTTAATTAGCTCTCAAACTACCTAAACTAGTTATAGATGTTTAGTTTTACTGCCGGGTCACTCATTACTCCAGTTAAACAGTGGACATCGTCCTGCTGAAGGAAACGTTTAAAGGTCCCATGTCATGGCCATTTCCACTGATCATAATTCCATTGTTGAGGTCTACTAGAATAGATTTACATTGTTCAATGTTCCAAACTCACATTGGTTTCTCAAACAGCATCTCATGCGTACCCGGAAGAATCAAATGGACAGTGACGTCTCTCCAACGAGGCGTTTTGGGGAGGTATTTTCTGTGTTAGAGTTGTACTCGCTACAGGGTGTACTTTGAGGGTTTTGACTCTGCACACCGTTTACATGCAGAAAAACCTTCATAACACACAAGGGGACGGGTGATAACCGGAAAAACATGACATGGGACCTTTAAGTATCATAAAGAACACAGCTTTAAAGTGATTCCCCCTCCCCCCAACACATATTACTTTTAAATGCATTTTTCAGTTCAGTTGCCAATTAGAATACTGGAATCAAACCACCCTGACCAGTGCAATGGTGGGTAATAAAAGCGTTGCAGGGTAGCCTATTATTTTCTTACCCGAGTTCCAGCAGGATGGTGGCCTTGTGGTGGTCCCATACGATGACACGGGTGTCATAAGAGGCGGTGGCCAACAACGCCCCATCTGGGGAGAACTCACAGGACACCACGTCATTGTGGTGTCCCTCCAGCTTCCGGATCAGGGTTAACTTATCCATGTTCCATAGGAACACCTGCAACGGGAAGAGAGGATTGTTAGAGTCGATGCAAGGATTTGAGAGACATGACCGAACAGATGTGCTACTTTACACTTAATCATTACTATATACACATTTAGCATTTTAAAATTTAACTCAAGCAGAAGGAATTAAAGCAATTAAACAGTCAAGTTATGCTCAGTGTCATTGTAATGCAACCTTTAACCAGGCCCAAAAAACAAAAGAGCACATGCTACACAAGCAGCAAGGCTACATCAAAATACAACTACTACACCTACATTAACATAATAGCTTTAAGAGCACAATCATTTGAATTTATACATATTTAATATATTATTCAAAAAATTCAAGTAAAAAATAGAGAAAATAAAATAAAACAAGTAGTAACTTAAGGTAACATTAAGTTACTCCACTGGTTTCCCCTTTCAGAGTTTTAGTTCACTGTGTTTACAATAGGCTCGCAGCTCCGGCAGAAGCCTATGAAGAGACAGATACTGCAAGAGAAAAGAATATTTTATGGCCAAAGGGTTGATACCTCTGGCAAAAACACATATGCACACACCCGCTAAATCATCTGTAGAACCAGTTTGTCAGAATATGATATTTTTGCCCCAAAATCATGTCACTGTTAATTCGTCAAAAATCGAAAATGCTTTAAAGCGATGCTTGTTAACGAATCCAGTTAATAATCTAGATAAAACGTATAACAGTCACATGCAGACGAAAAGTTACGTTTCTCGACTAGCTAGTGTTCTCATTTAAGTTACAGTTAGCATTAGCAACATTAGCATTATTTTCTGTGTTACATTTCTAAGCTGCGTTTTCATCACAAGTGAACTGATGGAGTACTGCAGTTAAATTTGTTCCACTGTTGCTGCCAAGAGCTGTCATACTTTTTATTGAAGCAGACAAAAGCCCCAGGAGAACCGCTGATGGAAACACTACTGGCCAATTTGTCGAATGTTTTCTCAATAACAGCTTAGCTCTTATGCAATTTGTAAGACAGTGCATCCTTAACCTGCACCATGCTTCTATCAGAGAAAGGGGTTTGTGTAACATTTGCAAATCAAATCATTCACAGTAAAGAAGGGGGGGGGGTGCAGCTTGTTGGTTAAACTGTTTTCTATGAATTTTCCATTAGCGGCACAACAATGCTACACAGTATGCTACTAGGGAAACACTTATACTGACAGTTAAAGAACTCCTAGCAACAAAAGAGAAGTGTGTGCAGACAGTGGACGGATGGAGCTACTTAGGATGGGGGGGTGAAGGAAGAAAGGTGGGGGTGAAGGGGGGATAGAGGGAGTATTTAATAACTGAAATTAAAAATCAATAGAGGGACTGCAACAGCAGAGGTAGACAGACACGGAGCAGCACCTACGTACAGGGTGGTGCCAGGCTGCCCCTGGCCTTGGGGCAATGCGCCCTGTGCGTCCCCGGTTTACACCGGCTGCTCAAAATGTCAGCGCGGCGCTCCCTTCAAAACCAATCACACACTGAGCTCTGCCACCACCTGTGACAGGGAGAGCAAGACACACACTGTAGGGACACACACAGCCTAACAGAGCTACTACCACCAATAACAACCATGAGCACATTGATCTAGAGCTGCAACAGTGCATAAAGTCAACTGATGGGCGGGGGGGAACCGGTCTACAGGATCAATATCCAGAAACATGTCTGAGGTAAGTGCTGATGAAATATGGAAGATATATTCAAAATGTAATGAATTTTAAATCTGACCCTTGGATCGTATGCAGGGTTTAACATGAGGTCACAAGTGTCTCAAAGCTGCCATTATATATTTGAAGATTCCCTTACGTAATGATTTGAAAATGTTGTTTGGTTCCCCCCACTTCAACAGAAATACTAGAACTGAATAAATAATAATAAATAATATTTTTGCTCAATGTTACAATTCCGATATATTACAGGCCCTGAATTTTTTTTAAACTTTTTTTACATTAGCATTGAACAGAAATGTAAATGATCATGATTTAATTTGTATTTGAATGCCCTGAACCAAACAATGGATTTTTGATTACGCAATACTTAAATTACATTTTTCTCAATATTACATTTTAACCAAATATTGCGCTTACTGCCATCTGGATAATGCACTAATAGACATCATTATACCGATAATATTTCTATTCATTGTGCAGACCTATTTCAGCTGTAGCTGAATTATAAAATGTAAAGAGTTTACCATACATGTTCACACTATAATTTAGCTAAATAACAAGAGTGAAACAGTGGTCTGCTGGGCATGCAAACTTCAGAACACCAAAAGCATGTTTTTTGCACTGCAAACAAAACCAAACAGAAGGCACAACTTATCATGACACTGAGCAGTTTGTTCTTAGGAGGGAATGGGTGGGTGGGGCATTTGTAAGTTGATTGGCTATCAATGACATCAAAATAAGTAAAGAGGAACTTGTGTACTTACTGCTTTGCCTGCACCCACTGAGCACAGGATGGAGGAGTCAGGGGAGAAGGCGCTGCAGTACACCCAGTTCTGATGCCCCCGCAGAACCTTCACCATGTTACCTAGGAAACAAACAACATTATCTCAGGCAGGAGCAGGACACTGAGTCCTTCACTGTCAAACACAAATATTTTCTATAGCGATTGTAACTTTTTATCTGAGCCTGGGAGTTTAAGCCTGCTGAGACGAATGTAATCCTTTTACATTTGATTTTGTTTCATTTAGCTAGCAGGATGGCCACATAATGAGTCAATTACTTTTAAGTGCATTGCAAAGGGATTATGGGGCACCATTTGACATTTAAAGGGTACAGATCTAATTCACCTCTAAAAGAAACATACCATCATCTTTGAGGTCCCACACGCGGAGGGTCTTATCTCTGGAGGCAGACACCAACATGAGACTGCCATCGGGAGCAAAGGTCAAGTCTCGCACTAATTCAGTATGATCCATCAGATTCAGCAAGAGCTTTCCTGCAAAGAGACAAAGGAAACAGAGAAATCATGAACAGCTCATCCACAGTGAAGTAAAGCTGCCCCTCACTCAAGCAACACAAAAAGACAGAAACCAAATGTTTAAAAGAAGAAGCAGCAAGAACTCCTGTTCTGGTAATGCGCCTTAAAAAGTGTAAGTAAAGAATGAACCTGATAATGCTATACACAAACTACATCACAGTCACATGACTTATTGTAAACACCACTAAGCTAAAGGTGATTCGATGAGGTTACGTAGTCTCATTTAGCTGCTTACCTAGTGCTGTTTTAAAGACACATAAGAGCTTCAGACAATTAACGAGTGGGGCGTTTACTGACCTATTTGATGTCATAAAACAAAGCGTGAAAATCTCTTAAGCTTGTCTTAACCAGACACCTTATGACAGGAAGCTAACAAAACACGCTAACAAAACATTGACCAAAAGTGCTAAAATGTTAACTCACTCCAGGGTTTTGGAACTCATTCCTGCAGATCAATATTACCTGATCTGATAACAAACTCATGAAGCTATTTCCTCACCAGTGTATACATCCCAGATCTTGATGCGACCATTGTTGAGGCCCGTTGCCAGTAGCAGCTGGTCCTGACCGAACTTGAAGCGGTGCCACTCGATGTTAACGCAGCGGCTCTGCTTCTCGGGGACGGACGAGCCGAAGGCCAGGCCACAGACGATGTCACCGCAGTCGATGGTGTGTTCGCGGGGCTCGTCGGCCGGCTGGATTTCCTGGCCCCCGTCGCTGTTCTGACGGGACAAACGGCGAGGGCTCGAGGCATTGGTGGCCTCTCCATTGTGGCCGATTGAACTGCAGTGACAGAGAATGGACACAAGAGACAGCCAAGATGAGCAGCTGGTCTTAAAACAGAATGACTAAATAGATATGGTAAAGGTTTCCACCATGAAGTTGCTTATTGCTTAATAAGCTGTAGGGTATTTGGAGTAAAAAAAGAAAAAAAGAAGAGTAATTTCATTTTGGAAGAAGACATGCTGCTGAAGTTTTTTTAAAAGTATTTTTGGGATCTTTGAAGCGAAGTGAATACGTGAAATCACAACAGGAACACAGGAGTGAAACTAAACTCCAAAACACAGCTCCTAAGGCACCAACATCTAAAAACAGAAGCGGTTCCATCTAGTCTCCAGCACAGACACACTCAGTGAGCTTTTCACTGCTGCGAGGCTGTAGTGAAAACAAATGTCATCAGTTTGGCTGGCGTTGATTAAGCAGACCGACTAAATGTGTTCTGCACTTGCTTTACAGATAGTGTGAGAGTCACAAGGCCCTATTGAGTGGAAAGAAAAATGGCCCATTAAGCAGAAAGGGAGTCAATAATAAAAGCCACATGTCCTGGCAGAGGAGCAGTGGAAGAGCTTTGCTTCTCCGTATCTTTCTTAACCTTTCCTATCAGGACAAACTCTAAAAGTTGCGAGCATGAAAGTATGCTGAATCAAGTGCTAGAAATACATGTTTGAGAATAATTCTGCACACAGCCTGCAAAAGCAACAGGTCAGCGATTGGCATAATACTATCGGCATCAAAGTTCAGTCTCAGTGGAAACTGATGGTTTACTAAATTACAATGATTTACCTTACTGCAGATAAGGTCATTACATTTGAAAATGTTTATGTTTATGTTGGGCTTTCTTTGAACAGCCTGTGTTGTTAAAGCCCTGAGGTTGATTCCTACACACTGTTTAGTGGGGGGAACTGAGTGATTTGCAGTTTCTAAGGGTACTTACAAGTTCTTCAGACATTTTGCCCAGGGAATGAGCCTCACAATGCGATGCCCCTGAGACCAGGCAAAGTAGGAACCATTAGGTGCAAAGGCTACTGTCCACGTCTCGCGTCCAGCCTTCTGGTCGAAGGGAGCAACAGGCACCAGGAGTTCACCGATGAACTTTGCCTTTCCTAGAAGAAGAAGACTGTTGCGTTAGCTACACCCATCGAAAGACTTCCAAACATCCCAAAGTAACCTCTTCACTCAGAGGCATGGAGGGCTTGTCACAGATGCAGGCATCTGATTGGCTAACTATGTCAAACATAATATTGGTAAAAAAAACAGGTGGGGAAACTGTACAAGAGAAATGGTCAGAGGTGGAAAAGTACTCCGATGTTGTACTTAAGTAAAAGTAGAACTACAACAGAATAGGAATACTCTTTCACAAGTAAAAGTCATGCATTCAAAATGTTTCTCAAATACAAAGGTATTGGCATCAAAATATACTTAAAATACCGAAGTTAAAATAGTCATTATGCAGATTGGTCCACTCCAGAATAACATATCATATGTTATGATTATTGATGGGTTTATCAAAGTTGGTAAAGGTGCAGCTAACTTGAATCACTTGGTATGCTGCAGGGTACAGTGTGCATTTAGACTATAGAATTATTTATATTTCACATTATTAATCCAAATCCACAAAGTGACTATTTACATCTGAATTGTAGTGGAGTACAAGTACAAAGAAACACATTTAAATAGTAAAAGTATCTCACAATTGTACTAAAGTACAGTACTTGAGAAATGCACATAGCTTCTCTGATTGTATGCTACATTTATGTATTATTATTTTTAAATACTGTTACTGGTGCTTTTTATTGTCCACCTGGATGTGTATTTTTGTAATTTCCATTTATATCTTTAATATGTTATGTATGCCTCTTAATATGTTGCCATTATTGCCCTTCACTTTTGCTGTAACGATGCAACTTTCCCCTCCGTGGGACAAATAAAAAGGTATTCCAATACACCACTGGAAATTGTCAAAATGCTAAATTACGTAAATAATGCAATTACTCAAATGCATATGTATTTTAAGTAGAAACTATCAATGGTTAGTTTTCAATTATTTAACAAGAAGCGTGACCTACGTGTCGGACCATGAATCACTCACTGATTGGGGGAGGGACGCTTTAACCAAGAACCCAGCATGACAAAAATCAAACATTGACGTACTTGAAAACAAACAAAGCGTGGACAGTGACAAAACAGTCACATGTAATAACGTTATATACATAGATTGATTAAACAAAGCACTCGCTAAGTGAGACGGTGCTAACGCTAAAAGGCATGAAGAAAGCTAAACTGAGAGCTAGCTGTGATGCTAAGCCCCGAGACTGCACACCACGCAAGACCACTGAACACAAGCTAAACGAGCTAACTACGTTACACACCCACATGCTAGTTAGTTGCATTTTTAAGGTTTTAAAGAACCGTTGAGAACAACAATTAAACGGTAACGGGTTGGACTTACCTATATCATTTTCGTTTACAGAGTCTGGGAAGCTTGCCGCCATCTAAATAAGGGCACAGACCTAAGAGAAAAGCCAAGCACGGAATGTAAAGCCGAAAAAAAAATAGAGGAAATTAGCAAGGGGAGCGGACCGCAGTTCTTCCTCCTCCGATGTCGGTTGTATCCCTTCGCCGAGCGTTAACTTCCCTGGTGGAAAAATCAGTCGTAGTTCGCTTTTTGTGAACCTCTCGTTTTCTTTACTTTTGTCGATAATTTGCTTTATTTTACGGTTCAAATTCCATTAACATGAAACTGTAGAGTTGGGTGCAGTACGAACCCTGGTAGTACAATGGCTTCTAACCACAGGCTGATGTTCATCAAGAGCCTCAGAGGAGTGACGTAGAACATCCTACGTCATCACAGTTTCCATGGTAAAACTGTGAACGCCTCCCCCTGGAATTCTTTCATTGTACTACCATTACCGCCACCTTGTGGTATTTCACATATTTTATGTGGAAGTCATTTATATTTATGTTTTATACAGTCGGTCTTTGGTAGAAATAAATAATTCCATACTATGTGAAATGTTAATACATAAGCAAATAACATTTTTCCTACAGATCTCATACATTTGGTTTTGCCAAAGATATGCACTAAATTGAACATATTAAATAATCCAACACAGAACAGCAAATTAAACAGTCGGCTACACTTTAAACAATAAACTTGAAACTTAATCATCATTAATAAAAACAAAAATAGCTTCAAATAAATGTATATAAGTTACACTATCTTAATTATAACAGCCTCTTTATTAATTGGGTTTCATGTTCAACTATGTGTTCTGGGTTTTACCTTTTTACTTTAAGACAGATTTTCCTTCCATTATCCATACATTTAAGGTTGAACATTAGTTGACCTCCTTCAATATTGCAGTGTTAATTTAAGATCAAGTTAAAATGCTGATCTTTGTGGGAATACGTGCTGTATACAAAAACATATTTAGCCTACTTCACTGAAGTACCTTCTTTATTGTAATGTGAACAGTTATTTTAGAGATGCAGTTTTACAAAATAATTTAAATGTTTCATTTGTTTTTCAACCCGAGCTAGTTCAGTCCAATCCTCTTATTGGATATACTATACTGTATTTGTTTAGGTTTTTAATGGCTGGTCTCAATTACATTTCAAGATCGAGCTCTACACATTCCATTCTTAAACCAATAACAGCAAGAAGACATTTTGGGTATGTAACCTCAGCCGACTACTCTGGGTTGATTCATGTTCATACTTAGCTTAATTAATAGTCAAATTAGGAATTGTATTACCTTATGTCCATTGTTTTTGTTGTGATTTTACTAAACATCTTCGCTATTTAACACATTTAAAAGATACAACGTTTTACATTGTACTAAACTGTTCATTTTTATACATTCACCATCAAAGGGCAATGTATTGTTGGCAGATTGTGAAATGAAAAAAATGATTACCTTATTTTAGAATAGACTAAAAACATCTAGATATTTGGTTATTTAGACCTTAAACAGATTTCGATATTTTAAAGACTAGAGCTGGACTATAGTGTGAATAGTTATAATCATTAACTTATATTTGTACCAAAAGTGTGTATAATTCTGGGCAAACAAAATCACAGTGGACAACACATTTTACTTTATAGAAAAACCTTTAATGATCATGGTAATATATTTACAATATAACTCAAACAAATCCGACAGGGTACAACAAAAGGATATCCGGGCTCACATGTTTCCTTGCGTAAAAGAAAACCTGTGAAGAAATTAAATCACTAACAAGCTTTACAAACATTGGGGGAAAAAACATGTCTATCTTCAGCTTCTTCACAAATACAGTTGTAGAGTTCCTTTCGTGGTTTGTTTCTTCTGTTTGGCATTTTGATAACTAAAAGTAACAAAGATAGACCCATTTACGTGTGTGTGTTTAAGGAATTACAACAAAACTGTGCAATATAAAAATTATAAAATATTAGATTAATTGAAACCTTACATTGATTTAAATTGAAAAGAAAAACATTTTAGAAAGCTTTTAATACTTTACATTGCTTTAAATTTAACTTTCGTTAGTGTATTAAGTGCATCTCTTAAAACTCACACCTCTTCAAGATTTAAAACAAAAGTGATATTGAACTATACTTGAGCATTAGAAACTGTGCGATTATAAATGACAGACCATCTTTAAAGGTAATACCAAAAATACATTTAGCTCTGGCTGTTTAGATGTAATCCTGCGTTCACACCGGAAGCGATGCGATGTTCGTAAAGCCAATGCAGAGACGCGGACAGACGCGAATTCGCTCCGACGGCGAGCATGAAGCGGTGGACGCGAATTCCGCGGCACGATTGAGGCGATTGAAGGGGGCCGCGACAAACGCTCAAGTTCAATTTTTTCAACTCGAGCGTCATATTCGCGTGACGAATATCTGTTCAGAAACTAGACAAAAGTTAAACAAGTACAAACCACAGACTGTCTGTGTCATGGCGAATACAGTCGCTGGTTTATTTATGTCTGTAGGCCGTTGTTATGAGTTTGGACGGAGTATATACAACGTTAGCTTAGCCTGGTCGATCCGATCTTCATTCAGAAAAACAAGAATTGTAAGGGTCATTCCAGAATTGGAGGACAGTTTAGACACCAACATTTTAGAAAAATGAACCTTTTTAAAAAAAAATGTATTTAGGAAAAACAGACAATAAACCATCAAAAAAAGTGATTTGCCCAGCTAGGCATCAAATTAATATTTTCCAATGAAGAATTTCCTCTGTTACTCTAATTATAGTAACAGGGTTGAAAGTAACAGGGTTGAAAATCAATGCTAATTTGAGCTTTAACCTCAGGAATTATTGCTAGATGTAGCATGTAATGCTACTTTCAAGGCAAGGACAAACTTGGATATCTAATGCAAGAAAGATAACTTTTAAATGAATATGCTTTATTCTGACAATATCAGTAACAGGGTTGAGTGGGTCAGAGTGCCACACTCTTTAAAGACTGAAAATATTGTAAAAATATGAAAAATAAAAGAGAGGACTTAGTTTTGGTCTACCCATGGCACTAGCACATGGCTAGCTGATGTCACTTCCACTGTGTCATCTGATTTACCGTTTTTTCACTTCCTGTGCCAATCTAAAAAGGTTTGGGTAACAGGGTTGAACGCATGTTGAGGGACACACCTTCTGTGCACAATTACTGTTATTTAAAATATGTTTATGATTTAACAAATTGATTTTACCATTACAAGAGACATAATATCAATAGAATAATACCAACAAACGTTCAAGAGCAATTTGATAATTTAAATAATATTTTGAAACCACTTTTTCTACAACTTTATATACATTTTGTCTCAAGACAAGTATGTTTATCACAACAAGTGCATGTTTTAGCATTTTTGGCATGGATTATTAGATTTTTTATATGGGGGACATGAAATGTCCTCCAATTCTGGAATGACCCTTAAAAGGTTTTTCGCCGTCTTGTCAAAGCATTAATTCATGGTTTTTACTAACCGGTATCAGTCTATGGTTTAGAGCGATGCGATAAGAGCTAAGTGAATATTCGCATCGCGTCCGGTGTGAACACAGCATAGGCTTTCCGACACTTCGCGAAGCCTGTGCTCTTTACTGGAACTACACTCCCATCATTGTTTGGCATCATGTGACCTACGTTTGTTTCAACAACTCAGCAGAAACATTTCCCAATAACTAAATAAACTGCGAGAGCTGCAAAATAGTGTCTTACATTTGTGACCACCTATGCTGTGTTGAGGAAGACTCATGGAGGGGAAGTAATCAAAGGGAAATTGAGGAGAATAATCTGGGTGGGTTTCCCTGAGAGGAGAAGACATCAACAAGTTTTCCTTAAGAAGAATCGACCCACTAACACACCACGACACAAACCAGACGCACAAATGCTCCAGACAACTCAAGCTGTTTGACATTTCAATACATCTACTCATCTTTTTTCAGTGGACCCCGGTTCACAGCAGACATTTTGAAACGCTCAACTGGATTAAACATTAGGGACGACAGCGTCATGTAGGTGAGCCTACTCACAGGACACCTCATGGAATGGAGACTAGTTAAAGTAGTTATTTACACTTAATAACTTCTTGAAACATTTTTACTTTAAAGAGTGTGCTGTGAGAAGGCTCCTTTTTTGGCCCGATGATATGGGAGTTGTTCCGGTGGCTGGGTGAGAGGTCAGGACCTAAAATCAAGAGCCAGCCATCCGTAATGCTGCGTTTACCGGCTCTCTTTATCTTTGTTTAAAATAATTACATTATATTTGTTGTGATTGAAATGGCACACTAGTACAGTCTCTCAACGTTTCAATGTGTTGGTTTCACATGAAAAACGATTTGCCCTTTGAGCAAGCTAGCAGGGAAGGTAACGATAGAAATAAAAAACGTAACTATCCGTTTTAACTGCGAGGCTATGCAGCGAAAAACCGGTGAATACAGCTAGCTAAATTTTGTTTCTATCATTACCTCCCGTGCTAGCTTGCATCGCTACATACAGCGGTTATCTGAGTTTGTGCGTTGGAAAGTCAGCAACAATTGAGGACAAAGTTGAAATATTTTGAACATTAAGAGCACCAGGGCCCAGTAGTTCAAAAACGTTTAATCCCTATCTGATCGGATCAGATTTGGATTTTGGGTAGTTCAAAACCAAAAAACAGGATTAGGATCACTTTTATATCCGATCAGATCAGGACATCAAATCCAAGCTTTAATCTGGATTAAATCTTCAAAACGGATAGTTCAAACCGACAACACAGGATTGGGATCAGTTTGATCCCAAAAAACTGGATTATCTTGATCCCACCAGAGGGGTGGGTTTCCAGTGGATTACCAGAGCAAAATGTACTGTACAATTTATTTAAAAATATGTTTCAATATAAATAAGATGGCAACGTTTGTTAACTGAAATAATAAAAAAAATGTTAGCCTTCATGACAAATCAATTTTATTTTTCATTTTTTGATCACGTTTGTGGCGGCCTATTTTGTTTTCAACCAAATGATGACATAAATGTGTATGCTCATCAAATTATCACAACAAAGATTGTCAATCACAAATGTAATTTAGATGAAAGAAAACATATCTTCAACAAAAAAGAAGTCCATCATCTGTCATCACCTTTCAAAAGTAATTGCGGACAATAGAGGTCTCTGCAATGTGGTCTCTTGTCTTCCTTGTATTATTTTTCATATCCACTAGATGGAGATCGGTAGGATTAAAGCACTGATATTCAGGATCTAGTCATTTTGAAAAGTCTGAATCTGGATAAGGGTGATCCTATCCTGAATTGCTTTGAAATACTGGGACAAAATCTGTCCGAGTTGTCCGATCCTGGATCACAAAAAATGGGATTTCAAAATCTGATTGAGATTAAAAGTTTTGAACTACTGGGCCCTGGCGACCATTTCTTAAACTGAATTTTCCCACCGCGATGTTGGGCGCAGAGCCTCACAGTGAAAACAGCTAGCTAGTTTTGTTTCTACGGTTTCCTCCGCTGCTAGCTTGCTCTGTTAAATGAAGCTAAACTGTTCTGTTGTACTTCGAGTTGCCAAACAACTTGTTGAAAATGTAGTTTTTAAAGTGAACTTTAGGAAATAGTGTGAATGAGAAATGAGACACAGTTTATTGTGATGAAGCACTGCTGCCCCCTACACACACAGTATATAATACATGACTACTCCTCGTGTTTCTGCATGTTTCAGCCTGGTGGCAGCAGTACTGTAAACACAACATTGACAAAATATATTCTCACAATAGTGATAAACACGTTCCAGGACACAGAGCTACATTAGCTTTCATTAAGAGTTAAACAGCAGGTTTCTCATCAGGGCGTTTCATTGAGAAAAATCTGCTGCTACTTTGAAAAATACTGAAATGCCCATTGAGAGTTAGCGAGATCTCTCTGTGGGTTTCTCACAACAGTTGTCTCCCTCCAGTCACATGATATATTTTTTTTATAAAAATAGTGAGAAATTAGCTTTACAAGTAAAGTTGTGTGTACATGACTTATATTAAATAGTCTAAAACATGCATTAACACTGGAATGGTCCAATTACTTACTATAAATCACTTTCAGACATCAAACTTCGCTCATCCCTAAATAATCAAATAACACATGTAAGTAGTTTAATCAAAAGGAGATAGATAACACACACAAAACTGTGAAAACTTTTCCAAAAAGGTTAATTTGTGGAGATTTTCTGAGGTGGAAACAAAACATTTTATGCACAAAGGGAGAATTTTACTCGTTCTCCAACTCTGACTGTTCACACAGGCTACATCACACCTCTTACACCTTTACCCATGCTAGTTTCACATCTACCGTTACATATCAAGTCATTTTGTGTTTTTCTTTTGTTCTGTCTTTACTCTTGTCCACATCGTATCAGAATGAGTGTTCACAGGATGATCCTCCAATCACCTTTCAGATACTTTATCCTCCAAGAGACATTTCTATCACTCGTGTTCCTCTGAGCTCGCAAAGATGAGATCAACAAACACATGATTTGCTCAAAGACTCAGGGGACATTAAAGAATATGGCAAAAAAGTCTGGAAGATATTTCTTATCTTCATAACATCTTAGGAGTTCAGGAAACCTGGCAGAATACAGCGGAGCAATGAATGGAGAGCAGAGCAGTGGATTCAGACTCTTAGTTTGCTTCAAAAGGCCAGGTGAGAACAATGCCATTCCCCAAGGTAAAGTACAATGATGTCCCAGAAGAAGGTCTAAAAGCTGAACCCCCATGACCTTGAAATGCAAAGGTCTGTGGGTAGGAGGAGGTAGATGTTGATACCTGGAATAATTTAACCTTGCCAATGTTGACAGTAATGATGTCCTGGAGGAGGGGGGTGCTGTTTCTTTAAACCTGCCACCTGCACTAGCGCAGCAACAAAGCCGAGAGCCCTCACTGGCTTTCCACCATGAGAACACATCCAAAGGCGGGACTATTTTACTGTATTTGTCCATCCCTCTCTAGGCCACCGCTGCTTTTCTCAAATTACAAATGGGGGCCATCAAAATGTAAAAATTGTACGCTGCTAACCGAACAAATTCCACATCATGCTCCTTTTCATCTTAATCATCTTAATGTTATGGCTGTGTGGGGAAGCAGCATGTGTTTTACCATGGTATATTCACCATATGCTTATATCATACCCTGAAGGCCTCAGTGTACTTCACACAAATTGACCCTCCTCCAACCACACAGCACTATTTCATCTTCTCTCTTCACATTGTGATGCCTAACAAGTTTGCCTTTAGACTGTGACCTGAGTTATAACCTATTTGTATAAAGTAATACAGTGGTGAAGGGATTGAGTGTTTTTCTAAGCTAATCCTGAAGTGAGGGCTACCTAAAAGATAAGCAATGGGGTTTTTCCATTGGATTTTGGAATCTTAGATCTGTGGCAAACACATTTTATGAAGTTTACACATTTTGTTTGGAATGATAATCTCCACATATTGAGACTATTTTTATAAAAGTTGAAGTATAATGCTAACGGCAGAAGTAGCTAACTTAATGCTATAATCATACTACTTCACCGTAACACAACTTTTGTCCACACCGCTTAGCCTAAGGCGAACTCGTCCTTGAAGTGTTGACGTTTAGTAGTCTTATTTAGCTTCTCCTTTTAAGACACATTAAAGCTTCAGACGTTTACCAGTTGGGTATTTACTGACGTATTATATGTCATAGGACAAAGCGCAAAAATCTCGTAAGCTTGTATTTACCACTAGTCTGGTATAGAGGGTTTAGAGGTCATCCCTGCTATACTCTATTCTATTGAAACATAGTAGAGAGGTTGTCATGTCTTTCTGCTCATTATCTGTCATCCTGGTGTTGTTGTAGTGTTCTATGCTACAGTATGAATGACATAGTTTTCACCTTGCAAACAGAGCAAACCAATAAGCTGCTCCGTCGCTGTCCGAAAAACGATCCTTTAAATGTAATCAGTTTGATACAAAGTGTTGACATCTGGGCAGCCACAACTTTAATGGCCGCAATATTCTGTCACTTACGTAACCCCGGACATGGAAAAACATCGATTAAGAACACATGGTAAAAAAGCTCTACATGGTTTAGTGTATAGAAAGCATTTGAAATGCCTGTGGTTCGCAGTCAGATACACAGTGTGTGAGTAAGAAAGGTTCATATGGTAGAAGTGTTCCGTCACTGGGTTAAAGGAAGCCGGTGAATACTGTCAGGACTAATGCTTTTACCTTTACGTTTGAAATGATATGTTAACAAAGTGTTATAATGTCGTTCCCCTTCTCCCTGGGCCTTACATTGTCTGGTATCGGATTAGGGTGGGGGAGCAGGGGGAGACAGGAAGAGCTGCAAGGCCGGCTCCCATGGGTCATGCTGCCGTCGCCATGGTAACCCTGATATGGTGCAGCACAGGAGGATCTGAAATGTAGATGAGAGTCTGTCTGATATGGGTTTCCATCATAAAATCAAACAATGAATGAGCATCTTCGGTAAACGTGGCCCCTGCAGTACATGTGGCCCATATAAGGACTCAGCTTTAGTACATGTGGCCCCTGCAGTAAGGACTCAGCTTTAGTACATGTGGCCCCTGCAGTACATGTGGCCCATATAAGGACTCAGCTTTAGTACATGTGGCCCCTGCAGTAAGGACTCAGCTTTAGTACATGTGGCCCCTGCAGTACATGTGGCCCATATAAGGACTCAGCTTTAGTACATGTGGCCCCTGCAGTAAGGACTCAGCTTTAGTACATGTGGCCCCTGCAGTACATGTGGCCCATATAAGGACTCAGCTTTAGTACATGTGGCCCCTGCAGTAAGGACTCAGCTTTAGTACATGTGGCCCCTGCAGTAAGGACTCAGCTTTAGTACATGTGGCCCCTGCAGTACATGTGGCCCATATAAGGACTCAGCTTTAGTACATGTGGCCCCTGCAGTAAGGACTCAGCTTTAGTACATATGGCCCCTGCAGTAAGGACTCAGCTTTAGTACATGTGGCCCCTGCAGTACATGTGGCCCATATAAGGACTCAGCTTTAGTACATGTGGCCCCTGCAGTAAGGACTCAGCTTTAGTACATGTGGCCCCTGCAGTACATGTGGCCCATATAAGGACTCAGCTTTAGTACATGTGGCCCCTGCAGTAAGGACTCAGCTTTAGTACATGTGGCCCCTGCAGTAAGGACTCAGCTTTAGTACATGTGGCCCCTGCAGTACATGTGGCCCATATAAGGACTCAGCTTTAGTACATGTGGCCCCTGCAGTAAGGACTCAGCTTTAGTACATATGGCCCCTGCAGTAAGGACTCAGCTTTAGTACATGTGGCCCCTGCAGTACATGTGGCCCATATAAGGACTCAGCTTTAGTACATGTGGCCCCTGCAGTAAGGACTCAGCTTTAGTACATGTGGCCCCTGCAGTAAGGACTCAGCTTTAGTACATATGGCCCCTGCAGTAAGGACTCAGCTTTAGTACATGTGGCCCCTGCAGTAAGGACTCAGCTTTAGTACATATGGCCCCTGCAGTAAGGACTCAGCTTTAGTACATGTGGCCCCTGCAGTAAGGACTCAGCTTTAGTACATATGGCCCCTGCAGTAAGGACTCAGCTTTAGTACATGTGGCCCCTGCAGTAAGGACTCAGCTTTAGTACATATGGCCCCTGCAGTAAGGACTCAGCTTTAGTACATGTGGCCCCTGCAGTAAGGACTCAGCTTTAGTACATATGGCCCCTGCAGTAAGGACTCAGCTTTAGTACATGTGGCCCCTGCAGTGCATGTGGCCCACATAAGGACTTAGCTCAAGGATTTGTAACATGGTAATACGTAGTTTTTGAAGGAAAACTTAACAGTAAACATTTCAACTTGAGATTATCTTGTTAAATGGTATGACAAATGAGATGCATCATAATCCATGGCATATCTTTTATTTTGGTGATATTGCTTTGAGAATTATAGTTATACGAAGATGGCGGTCGTTGAGTGGCAGAAGTGTCCAGCGTTCCACACTTCTTCACTGTTATTGATAGTGCCATCCAGGTACTCACTGTGCATTTTGTCATACTTTGAATTGGGATGCACTTATGTGCCCAAAACGGCAAATATAAATACAGAAGTACGTAAATTGAGAAGCAGCATTAGTCTATAGAAATTGGGATTACTTACCATACTACTGGCTCATGGCGCTGCTCATTCTGTTCCTGAGTATTAGTTCTTCTGGGCTGACCATCTTCCTCTGGAACAGAGACATCAGATTAAGAGGTAAAGCTCAATTTAAAGTTTGAGAACAAAAATCTTCCAGTTGGTTGTAATGGAGAAAAAACATTGTAAAACAAACAGTTAAGGCAAGGGGATGAAGCTCTCTTAAACAAGGTGAGAAAAATACACTATGGGGACACAAGACCTTGGTAGACACTGCTTTGTGACAAAAGCTCCATGTTACATTGTTTGGATGACATGCAGTCCTTACCACAGGGGTTTGCCTCCACATCGTCCAGGAGATTTGCCGTAGAGTTGGCTGTTCCCAATCTGAAAAGGAGCTTAGTTAAGAAAACAATCAGTCTCACAATTGATGGACTCACAGTCAGATCAGTAATGGAAGATGATCCTTAACTTTTTTTTGAAATGGTTAACAGCTGTGGTAAATAAATGTGATTTGGCTACAACCTTAAAACAGGTGGGTTAGGGTTAGTATATGCTCAAGGTAAAGCAAAGGATACGAGTGGTGCTTCAGGAGCATCTTCCTTTTGGACTTTCTCCGCTTTGTCTTTTCTGAGAACGTTCTGGCAATTTCAAACAGCTTCTTTCTTGTTGCTAGAGGAGAAAAATATCCTAGGTCAGCCACTACAATAGGAAATGCTAATTTGAGTGAAATATCAGTAGTGTTGTGACGTAATTGACTTACATTTGCCCATGTGATTGAGTTTGTCTCTGAACATGGCGTCATCTGAGACGGTGTCCATTGAAGCTGCAGAGTACTGTTCTCCTGAACACGGACACACACACACTGATGTACTGACACACATGCTACAACTGTAGTAGCAGGTATTTATAGTAGTGCAAAACCTTCACACAACAAACAACTCTCACAGTGAATGCAGAGACAAAACCCAAACTAGTATAGGGAATGGGAAGGTGACGGCATCAATGGCAAGTCGGACATCTTTGAAGGATACCAATTGACTAACTATTATGGTGAGCAAAGTATAGCCTTAACCCTATCAAATAAACGTTTAAAACATGGTCGACAGGCACTGTTGTGTGGTTGGCTGTAACAGACAATCCAAAGATAACAATTAAAATACAATTCCCATATGAATACATTCCATACTTTTCCAAGATGGAAACCTGATCAGTAAGACATAGCTAACATGGGAAGCTAACAGGGAAGCAGATGATACATTTGTTGGGTGGCAGCTGTCTGCTAACGGTTTAGTTTTCAAAAATTAGCTAACTAAAGTAACACGAACCACTACATAGGGCATACGATATAAAACATGAAATGTCGCAATATAATTAAATATATCATTAGATTAATGATAAACAGATTTTTTTTTGGTTAGCATTCAGTTAGCAATAACTATCTCACTTGTGTCCGAATTATTGTATCATTGTGTGATTGTACTGTCCTTGGATCCATAGGTACTGTACCCACCTGTTTGTAAATTAGACAGGAGATTTAACATTTTTTAAATTACCGGAAGATGTAGGCGCTAACTCCAAAGACCAGAGAGGTGCTGACATCTGTATCAGCGATTGGTGGCAAGTTGTCAAGATTCTTAAACCAAGAACTTCTCTCTCTTAAGATTTCATATTCTGCGCATATATTTTTCATTTTGGATACAAAAAAAACTTTAAAATGACTGGTGAAAAGCTGATAGATATTGATGGCTGCCGACGTTGCTATAGTCGCTATCCTCCAAAGATGACAGTGACGCCCCAGAATGCATCAATTCCCATTCCCTGTTCAGTAGAGTTCAGTGTGCAAAGAGCTTGGCAGAGGAAGCTTGATATCTACCTGTGCAACTCTCCATACTAGATGAATGATGAGACTTTGATTTCTTTGATTCATACTTCAAGCGATCTAAAAACAGAGAGCAGATGTTATGACCACTGATGTGAGGGATCAAGATGGTACAACCACCCGAGTCCTGAACCTCCATTTCAGTATATCTAAAAACAGTGTCTGATGAGGGCACAAAAACAGCCAAGGCAAGCATTTAGCTAAAACGTTAGCATTTCCATCGCTGACAAAAAACATTTCACTGTATTAAACAATCTCTAAAGTGGGAAGTAGTATTATTTACTGTCCAAAAATGTTGTTGGTCATCATGTTTATGCTGTTTAACTTTTTAAAGACTGACTGATTGTGTGAACTTTTAAGTTCTAATCTGAACATTAGACATTTACTTTCTCCATTTAGTTTTCAAACCCTATTAAAGAACATTTGCATTCATTTTCAAATTTATTTTAAGAACTGAAATAAGAGAAGTTCATCCTTTCAAAATAGTGTGGGCGTCTAAATGTAACTACTACAACAATGGAAGCACCTTGATCATAAGCTGAGTAATGTAAGAATGTGACAAATAGAGACATAAGGAATTCATTTAGTCAAAGTAAAGAAAATCTAAGAAATGCACAATAATTAAATAAACGCCAGCAATTAAAAGCTAGTTCCACTGCTAGATATGGCTGTGCTTAAATGGAATAGCAAGAATATTGTATTTGTATCCATAATTAGTTTAACTAAAAAATAAATGCTTTAGTGTGAAATGAGAAATTCCATGAAAGTCTTAACTCTGTACATTGGACATTTTTAATCATACATTTAAGTTGTATTACTTTGACAAAAAGCATAGGACTTGCATCAAGTCAAATTATGGCAATAACGGCAAAAAAAGCTTTTAAAAGGTGCCCTGTGGAGTTTTCTTGTGTACCATCCCAATGTTTATAAACTGGTATACTTTATGTCAGTGTAACTCGCCAAAATCCATCGTCTGTCCTTCCTGTCAAATCATTTCCAAGCAGCTTTTTGTATTTTAAATCCGGTATTGGTCAATTCATGTTTAGTAGCTTTCAGTCTTCTTATTCATTCCTCATCTGGTACATAGCAGCATTATTAGGTGCGTTACCACCACCCATAGATCAGTGGAAAAGTGTGCAACCCTCACAGTGTGTAGTGTTTATGTGAGCCGTCATTTACCACACTTGGCGGGGAAACTCTGATAAAGTCCGACAAAAATTAAATCTCTCCGGTCGTAGAGTCGGAATAATAATTCCCCCTAAGCCTCTTGAAAAAAAATCTAAATCTACATGCCATGATGATAACATTCTTTGTAAAGCATGTTTTTAAACTCAATATTAAAGACAGATAATATTTATCTGGAATTCTTCACCATTTGTACAGTACATTGAAATCTCCCCGGACAAGTTGACTTGAACCAAAACATAAACTGACTGCGTTCTGTGTCAGCCAAGTGTCCTTTGAACGTGGATTATCTGATAGAACAACAGGTCCATAGCAATACTAGAGGACAAAACTACACAGGGAACATTTTAGGATAACAACCTCAAGGACTTGTCAGTATCTCAATAATTTATGTTAAATGTCTTACTCAACCGTAAATGTCTTTACATTTGCAGTGACTACTATCGTGTGTACAATACTTTACCATTAAAATCAGCTGTTGCCACTGACCTCATGAGCATAGTTGTGTTGCATGGAGTGACCTGTGTACTGAGTCTTACCTCTCTCTAAGGCCATGAGGAACTCGCGGTTGCGCTGCAGCTCTTTCATAAACTCCTCGTTCTGCAGGAACAAGGCGATGCGCTCGTCCTCCAGATACTGCTTGAGTTTCTTGTCTTGCTCCGAGGCTCCTGTCGTCAAACCTGAACCTCCAGGGGTCCCTGCACCTCCGGGCCGAGAAGCAGACTGGGCTGTCCATTGGCTTAGGGAAGAAGCTGAGGATGATGAAGGCTGGCATAGACTGCTCTGAGAGCTCTGTTGAGGTAAAGCAGGACCAGATATTAGTTAGTATTGCGCATCTGCTGCTATATGTACTTTACAGGGATTGTTTTGGACATGATTTGAAGACTTCTAGACTCATGTAACTTACATTTGCATTTCTGTTAACAAAGCACTTGGTTTGAAAAGAACACTGGCTTTTATACTGCATTTTATAAGGAAAATGTGTATTTTCCGAATTATTACAAATTAAAATGTAACTACATTAAGACATATAAATAAACAACCAGATGCATCGATTCAACATCGAGCCGACGTTTTTTACCTTGATACTGTCCAACTGTTGCGGTAGGATCCGCAGAAAGTCATCGGGGAGATTTCCGAGCAAAGGGGGGTTCCAGTTCCGGTAGCTTCTGACCTGCTGGTGACCCGGAGGTGGCTCTGCTTCAAATCTGTAAGAGCCCATGGAGTAACAGGACAGATGAATGTCTCAGCCAATTAACTACATGCAGCTATCTCAGACTATTACATATTTACATGAGAGGTGAGAGGCTAAAAAAGGAAACATTTTCATCTTGGTGTTTTCACATTTTAATTGAAATATCTGAACAACTATTGGATTCATTGCCATCGCATTTGAAAAAGATGTCCAAGATCCCCAGATGATGAATCCTAATTGCAATATTTACTTCAAGGATTTGCAGAAAATGTTATACAGCCATGGTTCCCATTTGATGCAGTGAAAAAATGCACACATTGTCCCAAAGAGCAGAAGTCCAAGACCAGTCAATTCAAGAGCATAGAACTGCTGTGCTTCGTTGTGTTATTTTGTCTAAGTCATGGTGAAAAAGGTTGGTTGCCTATTGCAGTTTGCTAGAGGAGACAACCAGAGGCTAAAGGCTAAGCTAAATGACGTTGAGGGAAGCAGTAGTAATGTCTGGCAGGTTGGTCTCCTGGAGGGGATAAAACAAAAAGCGCTGGCGCACCAAGATCTTCTACAAACAAAGAGTCTAGCAAGATTAACACCTATACCCGTTTAATCCAAATGGTGATGGAGAAATGTACTGAACTGCCTTGATTAAGAGCAGACACAATCCAATCAATTAATAACAATAGTAAAGTATCTGGCTAAGTTTTCAAAATCTATCAAATTGAGGATTCAAATACGGATAAGTTCTATAAAGTGAAGTAATATTGTCTAGAATGTTGGTACTGGCTTTAAAAACAGAAGCAAATAGTTTTTCTATCTAGAAACCGCCTATCTATTCAATACAATCAGAGGTCCACTTCATTTGTTGAAAAAAGCTTTGAAAGTGGATCTTAAAGGCTTCAGCTTCTTTTATACAACAGTTCAGTCGCACTTTCTTACCTCGGCGGGGGTGTTGGTGGAGCTTCGGGGTATTTCCTGTCATAAATGTGCATATCATATGTTGGTGGAGAGTAGACTGGAGGAGGTTCCTCATCTGAACTGTCAGGCTCCAGGGTTCGCTCAAGAATCTATAAACAGACAGACAGTGCAACACAGCCTTTCTTTATTAAATGTTTTAAACCTGCCTTGCTCATATGCACTTGCAATTCTAAAATGCTCCCCTTTGATCCTAATTAGGGTTTGTTGTATAATGTTTAGATCATGTGAAATATAACATGCAAAATGTAGACCTCCCTCTAATCTTTTATTTATTTTAGTACAAAGCTTGGAAGTTATAGTGGTGCTGCACATCAAAGTAAGTGGATTTCCACTACTGCACATTTGACTGTTGTTTAAATTCAGAAAACTTAAAGGTCCCATGTCATGGCCATTTCTACTGATCATAATTCCATTGTTGAGGTCTACTCAAATAGATTTATATTGTGCAATGTTCCAAACTCACATTGGTTTCTCAAACAGCATCTCTGTAAGTATGTGTATTCACTCTGTCCTAAACGGCTTGTTGGAGCTCCTGCCCCCCCCCCCTCCACTGTGAGCCCAGTGGCCGTCTGCGAGACAGCGAGACACAGCAAGACCCAGCCCGAGCACACACACAGACTCACCGCGTCCCGCCGTCTCAGGGAGGAGAAATCGGCGGAGCTGCAGCTGAGAAAAGATTGAGTGTGTGTGTGTGTGTGTGAGGAAGTCCGCGAATTGGTCCATTTGGACCAATCCGCAGACGTAACGTAACGGCTCCATGGATTGGTCCATTTGGGTATGGGCACGTCACAGTACCCAGGAAGAAAACAATGGAAAAGAGAAATCTCCAACGAGGCGTTCTGGGGCAGCATAGACAGGTATTTTCTGTGTTAGAGCTTTACTCCCTACAGGGTGTACTTTGAGGGTTTGTGACTCTGCAAACCGTTTACATGCAGAAAAACCTTCATAACACACAAGGGGACGGGTGATAACTGGAAAGACATGGGACCTTTAATGAAAAGATGAACTTTGCTCATACTACTGTGCCTGTTCTTTAATGTGACACAATACTAGGTTGTTATAAGGAAGTTAGAAAGGACATAGATCCTTGTGTAACTTCCTAAGAGCTGGTTCATAGAATATTCTCAACAAAAAAAAATGTTCTTTACGATTGTAGTTGAACACAACATGATAACATCATCCTCTACTTTTGTGAGAACATGAATACAGTGTCAATTATACGGGATCTTCGTTCACCTGCTGCTGAAAGCTAACAACTAAATGCTAACGTAAGTAGCTATTCTCCCGACTTTTCAACGCTGATTTGTAGTTCACAATGTAGCATTATCAGAGAAAAAATAGGGTGCGTTGGAAGTGAGTTTATCGTGTCCCAGACCCATTTTTCTATTGTCAACTGGATGCCATTAGTCTCAAGCCCTAACAGTATCTGTGGTATCTTCCATACTATAGTAAAGCAAGCACTATCACATTTTCTGAATTAAAGAACAAAGTATTGTTTCTCGACATCCCTATAAATAAAAGTGGAGGGTTTGGTTTATAATCAATATTAACAGGCTAGGCTTGTCGGTACCCTTTGACCTTTTCAACTGACCTCTGGGGGGATGCTGTCATCAGAGTCTGAGCTGTCATCTGAGCCCTGTCCGTCAATGCTCATCTGGAGCAGCTGGTCGATGGTGGCGTCCACTGCTCCGTTGTTGGAGCGCAGCACGCACTCGATCACCTCATAGTCCATAGAGGGGAACATGATCTTGAAGTCCTCCATGGCCTGGTTGAACTCCAGGCGACGGACCTGCCGGTTGGACCGGCTGTTGTTGAGCTGCCCCTGGCCGCTGCCACCTCCGCCACTCCCGCTGCCCCCATTGCTGCTGCTGCGCTTGAACAGGCTAGTCATCCTCAGGGCCTTGCTGCTTTAATTGATGCCAACCTACTGCTAGGATGGCTCTTCTTTTCCGTCACCAACACAAGCACTTTGGCCCCTTCAGTCTCACTTGCTTTTCACTTTTTCCTCGCTCAGTTTCTCATTCTAACAGAAACATGGCAGTCTTTTGTTGGGAAGGTATAATCACTCAAGTTCCCCCCAAACCCCCCAATGCTACTTGTTATTCAGATAAATCTGGCATGGCTAACCGTATTAAAGGGTGTGCAGGTGGTGACAGAAATGAACAATCACGGTCCTGTCACCAGGTAGAGATTAGAGTCAAAATCCGCCAGGAAACACACATAGCTACATCACAGTCATCAGCACCTACAGAGAGAGAAGACAGGCAGTGTGTTAGAAGGGGCTAGCAACCCAAAGTCTATATTGTTCTTTTATTAAATTATACATTGAAATACATAATTGTTTCTCGACTGGGACCAAGCACTCTGATGATTTTCATTTAGCAGTAGCTCAATCAAGGGACTTTAATTGTAGGACCAGCAAAAACTACACGATGTTGCTTCCAAATAAAAATGATATGTATTGTATGTCAAAACGTGATGAAAAGGAACAATAGAGACCCTCATTAGATTTGGAAAGAGAAGGTTCAAAAAACGACTTTAGTCCTTTTTAGTTTGCCCAACTGAGAACAACATCATGATAGTCTTTGAAATAAGAAGTTTGGGGGCCCACAAATAATGAGGAGACAAGAAACACAACCTCGGCCCTGCATAGAGTGGTGCAGTGATGACGTATTGTCGTAGGCCGAGGCCCACCCAGTTTACTCATTGGCCCACCCTGAGAAAGCTTTGGTGTAATTTTTTTTTCAAAATTATTATTATAAAAAAATGTATTCACCCATTGAGAATATCCAAGCATTCAAAGTGAAATTCAAGTGAACAAATATCGAGTTGAATTAATGTTGTATGTGTTTTATCCTCTGAACCAAACTCATTTACGGTAAAAACTGGTTGTTGGTTCCGGTGTCGGTACCATATGTGTTCGGGCCAAGCCCCCAGGAAGTGCGCCGGACTCAGATGAAAATATTCGTGTTGGCCAAACGGCGGTAATACACTTCCGTTTGGTTGCCAGGCCCGGAAACACTTTTTCTCATTGACTTACATGGGGAAAGAGTGGTCTGTAAATCGTTGGATAATTTTTTTTAACTAAATAAACTACCCAGTATTAACACTTGTAGCCCTTATTAAAAACATTCGTTCCTCAAGTTGTAATAATGTGCTAATAACGTTATTCTGAGAGTTATTTCCCTCTGCATTATGAACGCGCATCTAACCCACGGGACAGCGCCGCCCGGCACGTTCATGCAGGGCTGCCCCTGGCCAATTTGGGGCCCCAAATTGTGAGATGAGGCCGCCCCACCCCCAACCGACAGGAGTGAAAAAATATATATTTGGAAACAAAGTAGGCTACTTTGCAAATATAATTCCTGTTTATTATTATTATCAACGGTTACTTTTGTATACAGTGAGGTAAATGGTAAATGTGCATGTATGTCGTTCAGTATGCGTTTACAGGTGAATACGTCTGCATTTCCTGCCAAATACTAGCCTCAAAAAGATTAAAATATAATTAATGCAAATAAACTACTTCTACTAATAATAATAATAATCAATTCAATAATATAAATACTATATTATTTTATTATAATATAGTTGTAATATAGTCAAGACAAAGCATGCTTATGACATGCTCAAAAACTGATATTTCTTAAATCTGTATTCTAGTTCCCTCTGTCAGCAATGTATCAACAACTACACACACATTTCTATCATTATTTCTCTGTGTTGTGGTTGACATGATGATGACTGTTAGGAGTTAAGGGGAGAGGCTGAGCGTCACCATGAAATGTGCAAATTGACATAAAAATTAATAAAAGGGAAAAAAATGCTCCATGTTTTTTAGGCTGTAAACTTGAACTGTTATGTAAGCCAACTAGACAGACAGTTTATCACTCTTCCTCCTGTACATTAGCAGATAAAAGGCATAACATACTTGAATGAATGTTAAATAAAGAATGCTGGAAATAACTGCATCTCCATTAGCCTGTATGCTCTGCAGAGACTGCCTTCTTCATGTTGTGAATTGCAGCTGATGTTTTAAGATGGCAATTGGCAATTTGACTTATACAACATTCGCAAGTTGTACATTTGACTCATTCAATAGCCCACCTTCGAGTGATGCTCTAGTTTGTTCATGTTTTGTTTTTTCCCCTCTTGCTTGTGCCGGACTGAAACTGTCTTTTCACCGACATCTCTTCACCTGCACTAGTGGCCGTATCAAAGCCGTGATTGGTCAGATGTTGATTCATTGCAACGGTGTCGGGTTACAGACGTGCTCCCCTTGTCTCACCTCTCACTCTCACGGGGGGGGGGTGCGCAGAGAACTGAGCGGAGAACTGCGCACAGCAGCTGAGGCCCTCTGGCGGGGCCCCATGCAGCCTGCGTGATTGGCCTGTAGGGAGGGGCGGCCCTGCGTTCATGTTACGTGTCCCGACCAATCAGAGCACACTGTGCTCACAGGAAGGGTGGGGGCTGAAGCTATTGGAGCTACAACGAGCCGTTAAAGGCAGAGAGTGAAATTCAGTGAATACAATACACGTAGTTTACAGAGATGCTGTTTGAAAAACCAATGTGAGTTGCGTTTATCTTTACCCATGGATGCACAATGGGAACGGACCCATATCGTCTTACTGCCATCCCACAAAGCTGTAATAATGGATATATTGCACATGTTTGCTATAATTCATTATCAAAGTACATGGGCTGTATGATTAAATCTTGTACCGTAAATGTTGTATTAAATAAAGTTAATATTACTTATTATTATAAGTATATATATATATATATATATATATATATATATATATATATATATACACATACTTATTATTATAAGTATATATATATATATATATATATATACACAGTGCAATCATTCTTTCATGCTAAATGAAGCTCTGTTGGATATCACTAGACCCTGTTACAGCGTAATATAAGTACATAACGATTGATGTGCACATTAGCATAATTACTAGCTAGCCGCTAGCTGCCGCCTCGTTAATATCAAATCCATCATAATAACAAATCATTACCATGCTGTCATGAACGTGCGGTGCTGTTACGTGTACGCAAATTGACGTGCTTGATGTGAACGAGCATTTTGGTTAAAGTTGCGCATGCGCTATGAGCGCACATACGGGTACTTCTCAGGCATGCCGGGTAATCTGTGACGTTTCGCTCTCTCAAAAGTTGGGCCATTTTATCATCATGCGCTAATGAGCAACTCTCATAGGAATGAATGAGGAACTCCCACGCTGTATCCAGTTCTTATTATACATCCATAGTTCGGGCTACCATCAATGAAAGGTCAAAGTCTGGACAGCCTATAGGCACACTGTGATTGTGTGTGTGAGTGTGTGGGGATGGTTGTAGACATTCAAATGAAATGTGGACAGGTAAGGCCAAAGTGCATATGTGTTCGGGGTCCGTCTCTTACCAATGACGTCACGACGTCATTGTGATTTTGCGATTTCCCCGCAGGCTAGGCAGTCAAGAATATTCTAATTAGCTTTGGCTTGATGTGGAGATGTGATTTGATGTGTCGTTTGTCCCCCAACTCCTCTCCAAAGTTGAGATATGTAATAAAATACTCAGGGGAGTTTCCTGAATGTTCATGGCCAAAGCCAAGCACGAGGCCCTGGGTAAATTTAAGAGGCTGATCTGGGGCATTACGTCATTGACGTCATTGGTAAGAGACGGACCCGAACATATATGGTACCCCGAACACATATGGTACCCCGAACACATATGGTACCGACACCGGCGCGCGCCATAGTAACGTGAGAGAGGCAGAGAGCTGCCTACAGGGACGCGCTTTTCTGTAAAATGTGCAGACATTTTCCCAGCCCAGAAACGCTGAATGAACTTCATCTCCGTCTAGCAGAACAACACACGTCACCAAGATGGCCGTCACTACTGTCTTGTCAACAAAAGGATTGACTACCCTCACCATCACCACAATGAAACACGTCCAGAAGAATGTCATGCAAAGCTGCCTGCCTTCCTTTGATTCTCTCTGAACTGCCTGGTCTTTTTAATGTTTAATGTCAACCATTTGTGCAGATAGCGTGAAGTAGAAAAGATCGCAGATGCTAATGTAGCGTTAGCATTTCTCCACCGGGCTCTCCGTGACAGTACTCTTCAAAGGTTTCACAAAATATGACTACTACTCTTACTGTTTAACATTTTGGGTTACTTAATGTTACTTCATGTTAAGGCTAATAAAAATGACACGGCTGTAATGCTAACTAACGTGCTAGCTACTAGCTAGGTAGCTAACTTGATCCAGCCACTCCTGGTCCTTTCATCAGACGGGAAGCGAAAGAACGAGCAAGACCCATTGCTGGTATGATAACAACCTGGTACTAAGCACACAGGCATCTTGTTAAAGTTATCTTATCTTAGCCAGCACCATATAGATAGATTATATCTATATGGCGCTGATCTTAGCTATCTCTTAGTGGAGGAAAACAGTTATGACATCACTTACGCGACTCTGGGATTTTTAGTCTTTCTAGTTGCGTATTTTTCATAGTCTTATATTTCAACAGTTTTACGACAAACTGTGACTTTTTTGACATGGAAATTATTTTTTAAGATTGACAAACATCATATGTGTAATTCATGGCACAATTCAAACGGGAACGAAAGATAAGTTTTCTCTCTTCATTGACTTCAATGCATAATTTTTCCGAAATAAGGTCCCATGGACCGGAAGTAGATGGGCGTGACTTCGCCACTCTATTGTTGCTGTTACCTAGTGCAATAAAATAGTTACCTAACGATTGTAAATATCCCAATTTGTGTTCTGTGAAACTGAAAAGGATATTACATTGTTTTTGTTACTTTCGTTGCAGTTGTAAATATGTCTTAAATATAATTTAGGTTAACTTCCTGTGTTATTTAGATGCTTTTATTTTGTAGGCGAGTTTACGCAGTTGACAGGAAGTTGTTGTTGCTATAGAAACAACGTGACGGAGAAAAGGAGCGGAGATTAATCTACATATAAACACGGAGAAAGTAAAGGATAAAGTTTATGTTTAAGTTTAGCACCCCCCGAAGAGAAACAAAGTTGGTATTAACTATAATATAAACATGTAGGTTGTGTCCTAATTCGTTTGTATGCTGTTTTGTATATTTGCTGTCTGTTTACAGTTCACTTTTGGTAGTATGCTAAAGTGATTCTAATACGGATGGAGCCTAAATGTATTTGTTATGTTTGTGTCTTTATAGCTCTTACGTTGATAT